GGTGGTTTTATTGCCATACAATCAGATTACTGCTGCTAGTTTCTCTAGGCCTTTTTACCATACTTCAATCAAAAGGGATCAGTTTCTTTATGCTCTGCCCTTGATTTACATTACATCTGTAAAGACCTAGTCTGGGTTGTAATCCCCTTATTAACTATGACCAGGGTTGATTTGCCTAAAAATAAAAGCAAATTGTGTCAGACCCTTTCACTTTGTTTTTGATTCGGAACTACAAAATGGATTACTAAAGAAATCTTCAGAGTTCACACGGCTGGGACAGTGCTGAATTTAAAATGAGAATTAAACAAGTTAAACAGGGGAGCCATGTCAACGGCTTCCATTTTCCATCATGGGAGAAGGGCTGAATTGCTGATGTCTTTGTATTCTTTGGCTTTATAGAGACAATGAAGCCACAGGAGTTTTTCCAAGCTGTTCGGAACATGTCCCATTTGCTATCCTTCCTTCTTTGCTGTTCTTATTTCTCCCCCAGCTCCATTCTAATTCCCCCCTTGAAGGGAAGGGGGGCAGCTCTTCCCTGAAAGAGCTAATTCCTGACTAGAAGCTTATAGTTCTATGGGTCCTGCATATTTTAATCAAAATATTTTAAACAGTTGAACACTCCTCTTTAAGGCTCTCCTCCACCACACAAAGGGTGAGCTCATAAGCAAATCTATGTAGATGTATAATAAGTGACCTGAAAAACAGGTTCTTTATGTCAGCAGCAAAAGAAGGCAGAGATTAGGCAAGACATGAGGGCCATTTTAATCATCTTTCCTACAAGAGCACTTCTTTTTGTCCAATTTGCAATTAAATGTTTTAAGAGAAAAAAAATTCTATAAAATGTTAAAGAAAATCTTTCCTAAGAAATGTTTTCATTGGGGTCTACCATCTGTATTTCCTTCTCTCTGCCACTCCCATTGCTGTGACGCACCACCACAGTCACATTAGGTGGGCTCACTGTGAAATGTAGCTCCCAGTTAGGTGTCATATGAAGTTCTGGAAGCGACCTGAAATATTCAGTGCAAGACAAGATGGCAAGGTTTAGTTGCTCCATTGACAACGTCCCTCTGAAGGCAGTTATGCTGCTGATCCACCAGGCAGGGGGGTTAGCTCAGTAAATGCACACACAGGAGGTTTGGGGTAGTTAATATAAATATACAATTGCTCTTCCGCTGCTGACTCTACCGGCAAACCAAGCATTCCAACATGTAGTTTTAGGTTGTCTCCAGGTGATGGCTAATTCACCTGAACTCACACTTTATTTAGCTCAAGGGTCAGAAACGTTAAGGAATGTTGGCGTCATTTGCATTTCTTTGCATCAGTAGGACAAGTGTCAACAGCTATGCTTTTGTGAAAGGTTTGGAACCAAGTGCTTAACAAACCATCTTAACCTCCAGCTTCTGTTTCAGAGGCTGGAAGCTGTAATTGTTGAGGTTAAAAAGTGCAGTCCCGAGACACATGATTCCCAAATAAATTCTCCTCTGAATAGAAGGCTACCAACCATGTTGTAAGATATCGCTTTAGCTCTGTCTTTGTGCTCGGCCTGGCTCAGTTGTCCTGTGAAACAACGACAGTCCATTACCTACAGTTTATCATCCTGACAAAACGTGAGGAATGTGGATGTGAAAGCACTCACAATTCCACCCCTGGTGCTTTGTGCTTTTTTCTCTCTATATTAAAACCCGACAAGATTAACCCACACGCAAACTGTGGAGCATAGTTCAAGGAGCTATTCAATCAGTGCTGAATGTGCATTTGTTTACCTACAAAAATAAGAATTTCAGACACAATGGAAGGCAGGCTGGCGTATATATGTTATTGAATGGGCTGTTTAAACAGCACAATCCATTGTAGTTTATTTTATCAATCTGGCAGCTCTGTATTTATTCGGAGCCTGACTGGGGTGAGGCCCGTGTATTATAGGTTATCTGGATATTATCCAGCCATTCTTTTGTATCAAGTCAATCAATATCAGGAATTCAGCATTATGTAAAAGGAAAATTAATGAGAAAAGCAAATGCTTTATTAAGTAACTAGTTTGTGATGCATAGGGAATATCAACTCTAGACATAATAAATTAATCTTCTACTGAAATTTGCAACAATGTAATTCATTCTAGAATACCATATCAGTATAGATTTGCTCCCCATAAAGTGAAATTGATTTTTTTAAAAACCAACTATTTTATTTTAGCAAAAAGAAAAAAAAAGTCCCACTGAAATATTAATTAGAAATGGAAGCTAGGTTTTGCTGTTCTCCCCATTTAAAAAAAAAAAAAAAAAAAAAAAAGTTGAAAGGATCTAAATGTTACCAGAACCTATTGATGCCATGTGAATAATCTAACAGGCAGCCACTAATGTTTCAGTACACAGAACTTCTTTTGATTATTACAGAAACTCTCAGGATGGAAGCAGAGACAATGTTATTAAAGTAGTTATGGAGAGGCTGAATTTGCAAAGGGTTTTCTGGACCTGTATGCAAACGGCTGTTGTCTGCTCCCTGAGTGTACCACCTGCTAAAAAACTGACCTCCAAATGAAACAAATCTAATTGCTGATGGTTGCTTCGTTACAAATGAATTGTTTCACAGTTCAGATACAGTGATGTGAAACTTGGATGCCTTTGATTACCTTGTGCTACATTATATTTACTGCTTGAAACTTTTCCCTGGAAATAAAAATGCAACTTCTCCAAGTGAAGCAAGTCCCTGGCACCATGGTGAGTTTATACAGCCTCAAACTCAAGAATGGCTCTTTCATATTGTCCCCCAGGAAGATATCTTTCTGGTCTTTCAAGCTAGCATTCAGTTGCATACTTTCCAAAAGTAGATCTTTTTCAGAGAAACCTTATCCAGTCCTCCAGGCAAGCCATTATCCAGGGATTTAGAAAGAAATCTCACTTCGGAGGACTGGGAGCAATCACACCCACGCAGCAGCAGCAGCTCAGGGAGGTGGCTTCTCCAAAACGCAGGCCCCTAGCAGGTCTCCCAGTCTGTGGCCACAGCTCGGAAAAATAGACTTAAAGCTCAGGCCGGGGACTGAATGAATATCAGTCACCTTCCTCCTCCAACATATTGAGAAAATATTACCATTTCAACCTTGGGTGGGAATAATCCTTGTCCCCCGCTCAGTAGGCATTTCTAATCCTTCTCCCAGAGACACACAAACTATTGGTTAATAATAACACAAAGATACTGAGAGCTGACCGCTGAAGGAGTTAAGTGTAATTTTTTCAACTCGACTTAAATATATTAAATGCGGATAGAAAGACAGAAAGAAAAAGAATCAGCCCCAAAGAGAGCCCTGAGTGAAAGTGGAAAGTGGAGCGGAGCAGGCGGCCTGGGGGAGGGGCGCGGCCGACCCGCGAGCATTCGGCATGGAAGAGTGACCTCTGTAGGCGCAGAGCGAGCAGGGCCGGGCCGCGCCCGGACTGGGGCCGCTACTGCACGCAGGTCCCAGCCAGGCGCCTTCCGGCACCACCTGGTGCCTCAGGATTCGTTCTCCTGGTAAAGATGCCACCGCCAGTACAGCAAATGTCATATCTTACTTTAAAAAATTAAAACCAAAACTATACAAGGTCAGACTACATGGAAGGAGGCTGCATTAAGCAACTTTTAAATATGAGCAGTGTTTGAAAGTACCATCCATTGAACAGCGGGCAAGAAGTTTCTGTTTAAAGCTAGTTATAAATGTAATGTTTTGCCCATTTAGTGGGAGCATTTGTAGCTAACATGTTGGCAATTCGAAATTCATCTTTTCAAAGAGAGAGGATACATTTCTTTAATAAAGACGTAATTTATAAATCAATCTCCTTTCTCTTTACTCCTAATTCCATGCACCACTTGCACAACTTCAAATACGCCATTGATTGTGCTTCTGATTTCAAATATTTTCTCCAGAAACTAGGCAATGCCTCCATACTTTCCCCAAGTTTCCCAGGGCTAAAATTCCAAGATTCTATAAAACACTTTTTGGCTTTGATTCGAAATATATCCTGAGAATGAGGTGATATGCAGCACCGAATGCACAGATGACTGCGAGTGTAGTCACATACATATATGGAGGGAATGCATTTTCTAAATTCTGAATATACCCTGATAGCTCAAACTGAAAGTTACTCTCCACAGGCCTGATTTTCTCTAGGCTGTGTTTGATAAAAGCCAACTCTCATCCAAAGAATCCTATTTCGACCCAGGGCCTCTAAAGGTGAAGGCTTCTGGAGAAGTGTCGACTGGGCAGGGCCCTAAGCTTTTGCAGAAAATGCGAAATTAAGCCGGCTACTGGGACCTCGCAGAGTTCTGGGCCATCGGTATATATAAACGAAGGGAGAAGCTGACGTGCGGAGGGCCCTCTGGGAGAAATCTAAGGCCCCTCTCCTCAGGCGGAAAAGAGAGGGCTCGCTGCCTGAGTTCTCCTGCCGAGCCAGAGAACTCCCCGCCGCACCCTCGGGCTGCTAGTGGGGAGCCGAGGCACGCGGGCTCCTGGACGCTGCGGGAAGCTCAGCAACCCCGTGTTCCCTCTCCAAGGCTGTACTCCTCTGCCCCAGACTCACAGGCCCCTTTGCCCGCCAGCCCGCGGCGCCCGGGCCCGCAGCGCCAGCGCTCCTTGCAAGCGCAGCATCTCCGCCGGTCTCCGGAGCCCGCCAGTCGCAGCGCGTTGGTCTGCCCTGTTTGTGGACACTTCCTTCGTCCTCGAAAAGAAGTGAGTCAGGTATCGCCATCCGACACCTTCCCGGACGTGCCACCTGAGCCGCCAGGGGCTTTTAGCACCCTGAAGCGTTTAGGAGAGGAAAAGAGGGAGAATGCGCCTTTTGGAGACGGCGCTCGGGCTGAAAAGCACAGCTAGTCTCCACCTAGTGAAATGTGGCAGGGTGGGTGTGGGGAACAGGAGACCCGGGTTCCAGATACAAGCTCCGAGGCTCAGTGGGCCCACCCCTCCTCCCGCCGGGAGGGCGCAGCGGACCCCGGGAAGGGAATCGAGGGGGATCGCGGACGCCACTTACTTGGAGTTCGAGGAATTCCAATAGATAGGCTCTAAAACTATCGATCTGGAAATTGCAGTTCTGCATAAAACCATCAAAACTCCCCAGCAGTACTTCCACACGGAGTCCCTTCTCACGGCCATGGCCAAGCCGCTCCCAGCTCCGCGCACTCCTGACGCGAAGAGACTGGATTCGGGGCGGGATCCCCAATTTTCCGGGGTAGACGAGAAGGAAGACCACAAGCGCCTGGAGGCAGCTCCGGGGCGCGCCGAGCAGCTCCAACAGTCGCCGAGGCCAGATGCGTTTGCCCTCCGAGGCCCTCAGGGCGCGGGCTGGGATCGCTCGCGCGGGGCGCGGCGGCGCGGCGGGCTCGGGGCTCCGGGGCGCCGCGCCGGACGCAGCTCCGACGGCCGGCTCCCGTGCGGCTCCAGGGTGCCAGGCCAGCCGCGGCGGGCGGGCAGGCGGGCGGAGGGAGGAAAGGAGAGCGCTGGGCCGGGACAAAGGCCAGAAGCGGAGAGACGGTGCGGGCCGGCGGGCACAGCGTCCCGAGCAGGGCCGCCTCTGACTATAGATCCAGGGGAGCGGGCAGCAGCCCGAGCGCGCGGGCGCCGCGTCGGCGCGGTTCCATGTCCCGGAGCGCGGAGTGGAGAAGGGCGCCTCCCGGCGCGCAGGAGCCTCCTCAGTCCTCGCAGCTCCCGGCCCGCGGAGCAAGTAGAAGGGATCTCGGTCTCTGCCGCGGGCGCCGTACGCGCGCGGGCCTTTGTGTACGGGGAGGGCGCCGGGACCGACTCCGCGCGCAGATCCTCGCTCCGGCCGGCGCCGCCGTCCCCGCCGAGGAGAGTCAGCGCGGCCCGCGCGCTGTCAGAGAGCTATAAACACCGGGCCCCGCCCCGCGACGCGCAGCCCATTGGCCCGCTTTGCAGCAGCGGTGCGATGATTGGGTAGTCGGCCCGTCTGTTCGCCACCCCCGCCCGACATTGGGCGCCGCGAGGCGGGGCGCCAGCTGACAGGTGAGCCCCGCCCCCGGCCCCCGAGCTGAGAGCCGCGAGGCCGACCAGGACCTAGGAGAAGTGGCCCGGTGTGTGCACGGGGCGCCCCCAGAGCGGTGGGAGGGCCTCCCAGGCGTGGTGGGAACGTCGAAATGGACCCGGCCGAGGGGGAGTGGGCGATCGTGACGGGCCACCTGTCCCCGCGCCCGGCTGCCCTCTGGCCTTTGTCGCCGCGCCCAACAGCACGCCTCCATTGCCTGGCAAGTGTCCTAACTTCTACTGAAAGGCAAAGCTTTCACTTAGGCGGGGCTGAAGGCTCTGGCTTTCCTTTTGGGTTTTACTTAAAACGAAACGTTTCCTTCTGTGTAGGGCTAACACACGGCACACGCGCGCATACAGTTCCCTGGCTCCCTCCGTTGCTTCACTTGATTTTGTTACTAAACAGTCAACTCGGGTCCGACCTAAGTCAACAGCGTCGAGAAATGCGAAATGATTCCGGGGGACGCGGGGCCGGAATTTGCAGCGTATAATTAGGGCGAGATGTCTGTACCTCCCACTCTCCCCTGCACTTTCCTCAGGGACGTCTCCCTTCCGTTCCTCACTTCCCGGGAAAACAGCACCTCCTAGGCTCTGCCTGCAAATGTCACTACTACAGGACTTTCGCCTACTAGCTTCAGGGAGAGGCTCCTGCTGCCCAAGGTTACCAGGAAGTCAGCAGGTGACGCGTGCAGATTTCCGCGTGTGATGTACAAGTCAACGCCAGTATCTCTTATTCAGAGTCTAAAACAGCAAAATGGAGAAGCGAAAGGAATTCTACATTACATTGATGATCGGTTAACTGCTAGCCCAAAGAACGGCTTTGTAGGGCTCCACATCAATGACTTCCACGGAACCACAGCGCCCACTAGCGCCCAGTTTTACTTCTGTGCATCTTTGAAGCACACGTCGACCTACCCAGAACCAGTCAGAAAGCCCAAAATAGGATCTTTTAAAATGCCTAGCAGCATGGAGAACAATCCAAAAATAAGGCATATATCAAATGTACAGTTCATAGTTTAACAAAAATTAAACAATAAAATATGCTGTGTAACCAAATTTTTGTTTTTAAATGCTGTCCCTGCCAGAATTTTTTCCAAGGAAGAAACCAGACATATTCCCAAAATTCCCACTAAGCTACATTAAGAGAAGATATGTATGTTAAGACACCTTATTTAGTTGCTTATTAGTTTTTAAATACACTCCATATAACAATCTGGGGATTTTCAGAGTGCCATGGTTTTTGAAACATTAACATAAGTTAATGCATACTTCACCTGGAGTGTGTTAAATTTCTGAAGACTAATTTGTTAGGATAAAACACGCCAAGGTGTGCAAAAAAATCTTTGAAGAGAAAACGTTTCGTTTTAAATAAGACTTCAATTTAAGAAAATACATTTTTTTTTTAAAGTCTCAACAGGGGCTAGGGTTGTGGCTAAGCAATACAGAGCGCTTGCCTCGTATGTGTGAGGCACTGGGTTTGATCCTCAGCACCACATAAAAATAAACAAGCAAAATAAAGGAATTTAAAAAAAAAAAACTCAACAATAGTACAATTTGAACTTTCTGGCCCATTACCAGGAAAGACTAAAAAGACAGGAAAAGGCAGGCACAATTACTCAAACTTCATGAAGATAGTAAAAATGAACTCATGTTTAATATGCTTTAAGAAATAAGGAATTCACTTAAATCTATGTAACTAGCTGAATTAATTTTTGAAAGAACTGAGTACCTTTCACATTTAGCAAACTTACACTGTGAAATTTAAGCTGTGACCTCCTAACTCCTTCATATCCTTTCTCCAAGTAAGCTAGGAAATAAAGGAAATTTGTATTGTCTAAAAATAACTAAGTTTCCAAAAATACCATCTGGAGTAAATCAGCTATTCTCACATCCAAACCATTTTACTGGAGGAAAATGTAAAATGTAATTATTGATTCTTTTAAAAAAAAAAAAAATCAGTGCATAGTACACAACCCCAAAGATTGGTATTGTGTAACTTTAAAAGTATGTGAACTTTAAAAAACTTACTTTCAAATTTCAGTAAATATAGATTTTAGAGAATAAGTGTAAAACATCAACAACTACAAACAACTCTGTGATGTAAAAAGTCCACTTTGATTAGATACTAACTTTGTTAACTAAAAACATAACCACAAACCACTTCCATCATACATACATCATCCCAGGCAAAATGTACAAAATACCAAAGATAAATTCTAAAGGATGCCAAATCAAGAACCCACATCAGTTTAATCTCTTTGCATTTTGACTTCATTTTACAATTACATTCTTGGTTGTTTTTGAAAATCTGTAATTTTGCCAGGATGTACTTAAACCCTTGTTAAAAGATGAGACCTTATTTCCACAGATGAAGTCACTTCTGTTTCCTGGAGTTATGAAATTTCAAAAGTCAAACTAATAAAGGCTTGGGGATTTCAAAGATATGGTCAATTTTTAAGTTAATGTAAATCAGTGTGTATTACAAAGCAGAAATACAAACATTGGTAGTTCCAGTTAAAGAAAATGTAATTTACTAATTAACCATATTCTCATCTTTGGAATTTAACCTTTAAAGAACATGATTGTTTCTTACATATTCCTTGTACTTCCAAATACATATAACTTCTATAAAAACAAAACCTTATCTAAACAATATTGCAGAAAAATCACTGAGATATTAAATGTGGTGGCCTAAGCCATAAATTTTTTATTTACATAGACCTCTCCTGAAATTGCACCCTGTTTCCTGGCATTGTATGTTGTTTCATACAAGTCACTTAACTTTTCAGAACTATGGTAAATCACATTTTGCTCAGTTCTACTCTCAAAAAAATGAAATCCTTTCTTAAAAATCAACTTTGGCCAGCCCGGTGGCACACACCAGTTAATCCAAGTGGCTCGGGAAGCTGAGCCAGCCTCAGCAAAAGTGAAGTGCTAAGCAATTCAGTGAGACCCTGTCTCTAAATACAAAACAGGTGGGGATGTAGCTCAGTGGTCAAATGCTGGAGTTCAATCCCTGGTATCAAGGGGGGGGGGGGGGGGGCGGGAATCAAAACTCAACTTTGCCACACAAACCTATCCCATTTATCTGCTTCTGAAATTCAGATTACTAAAGCATCTTAAAATTATAGCCTGCTTCTTTACAGCTGGCAGGAAACCCTACATTAGTCTTCATCAGAATTATTCCCTCTGGCAAGTTTGGTGACATGTCTCTTAGCTTCTCTGTTAGTGGTCATCTTGTCTCCAGCACAACCTATCTTTTCTTTTACAGCATTTCTATTTGAAAAATAGATACTTCAAAGAATACAGAAATGGCTCCAACTACCTTGGGCACCTAGCATAAAACCTCATTTCCTTATTTGCAAAATGAGAGGTTTGGAGAACCAGCCAAGCTCCACTCACCACTCCAGACTGCATTAGGTAGTGGTGGAGACAACGGAGCACTTCACTTAACAGCTCGCTCTGCAGGGTTTCCAGTGTATTGATTACTTTGGTATCTTATTCTTTATGGACTGATACAGACATTCTACATGAAAATTCCAAGTTAAATGCTACTATTGTAAATACATAAGGGAAATTACTGAGGACAGTGATGAGGTAATGATGGATCTTTTATTTTAGGCCCAAACCCCCTTCTCAACCCTTGTCCTCCTTTGTAGGGGGTTTGACAACCTTTAGAACTAATTCAAGTTACATATTCCTTATTATACCTATTTAAAGCCTAGAAAATGAGGGAAAGAAACATTCAAATGTATAGTTATTAAGCTCATTTTATTTAAACCCTAATAACTCAAGTTCAGTATCAAGTTTTAATAATCTTATATACTACCACTATAACACATACATGCATAACTTTGGATGCTTTATAGTGAAATTGTTGGAACATTGCAGATATTACTTTCTACTGGCTCAGAAGTGCTCCCACATCCTCTGATCAACCACTGGGTAAGGGAGCAATTGTCTTTTCAAGTATGACTTCCAACGAAGTGTTAAAATTATAAATTCAATAAGGTATGAAACAACATATCACTGACTTGGGGGGCACTCTACTAGATGTAAAAACAGACATTCAGATTTCCATTACTTTCTAGGATCAGAGTAAAGTCCCAAAGAAATACTCTGTAGTGTAGGAGGATGATTCACACACACCCTAGAGTTCTCTGCACTTCACCTTCCCTTGTTGTTCTTCAAATCATTTACTCTAATAACTGTAAATCTAGAATATATAAGGCAATGAAATCTGATTACCACAAGTAATGGTAAATCAGCTACAAAATGTATAGTGCAGTCTGTAAGAAATGCAAATCTACATTACTACACCACTGGATTCTCCCTCTTCATGGACAATTGAATTCAAAATGAGCACTTAAAAAAATAGCAAAGGATTCAAGACCATTGTTAAAAGGCAGTTTAATCAATGGTTGATGGAAGATAAAGACCTACTGCTTGGGCCATAACTGACTCTATATTTCTAATCTGAGGTCCTTCTTTTACCTTCCATACTCCTAGGTCCTTTCATTAACCAGTAACAGATCTAGTGTTTATTATAGAGAGTTGACAAGACTCTCCTACAGGGGATGGGTTATTTCCCAAAATTGGACGGTCTGTCTTCAGCATTTCTCATAGCCAGAAATGCAAAACACATAGATGGTAATGGGTATAATGGAGTGAAAAATAGAGACACCTGAAACACAAGTTCTAAGAGTTGATAGTTTGAGAAAATGTAGTTAAATGACAAACTGAGAATCCTTAATATGAGGTATTAAAAATGATAAGCAAAATTAACTACAGGATTCTGTTTATTTTATTTCAGAATATTATAAAGAAATATAGTCATTTAAAATTCCTAAAGCAAGGCTTTATCTAGGAATTGTGGCAATAAAAAATAATTAAGAAAAAAAAAAAATCAAGCAAGCTATGGACATACTAACCCAATTAAATAAATAAGGAGAGGCCAGAATCAGTTTAATATGCTAACTCTTACAGAGAACCTGAGGTCATAAGTCAAACTACAAGCCCCTTACCCTACTAAAGCATTAAAGAGTACTCACACCAAGCTAATTTAAAGGTTTAGTTTATACAATTGATAATTCTGCAAACTCCACAATATAAATGGCAATAACTACATGTTTTAAATACTGTAATAAAAAATAAACAGTCATTGGTTATTCTGTAATGCAATAAGAATTAATAACCTAAGAAAACAAATTGTGAATAAAGGCATATTTAATAAATTAGGGAACATCTGAACTAATGGATTAGGGGGAAAATTTAACTTTTATAGTATGTACACAAAGGCAAGGGAAACAAATGAAGAAAACAAATTACTACATTATTGCAGCACAGAAAAGATTGGGTGTATATTATTAACAATTACAATCTCTTTCCTGTAGCCCGGCAAAGAACAGAAGTCAAGTTACCAAGCACAGGGACAATTTCATCTCTCATGTGAGTCTCCAACAGCAAGTAGATACGGCAATTTCATTAAGTGACTTACTGTTATTTCACACAATATGTGGCAGTAAGAAACTTAAAAAAGGATTAAAAGGCACGCATACGCTGATTTCAAATATTTTAAGTTCAGGCTACTCTCTTCAGATACAATATTTAAAACACTAGTATAGCAAAAACAATTTTAATATAAACATTTCCAAAAACTTGAATACACAACTTAGGAACAGTGAATCTGCATCAAAAAAAAGTTACAATAAAAAAAAAAGTGTAAGAATCATGAAATAATCACAGCTAATTTATATTAGAGATAAGAAAAACTTGTAGGTAACCTATTTGTTAGGGAAATAAAGTGAATGTTTGATTTTAGAATAACAGGTATCATGTTTACTAAAAGTTCTCACTACAGTTCATGCCTACTTAAAATTCTATCTTTAGAGATATTTAAGCTGATTTTATTATTCCTTACCACAATTAGACTCATTGAAGAGCTCAAAATGAAAGCAATAGCATTTTTCTTAGCATGCACACACTATAAAATAATCTACCATTTAGTCATCTCATAATAACTTGTTTTCAAAATTTAAAGAATGATCAAACTGTCTTGAAAATACTGGGGAACATTTTCTCTAGTGTGACATGTTTATGCATCGCAAGTAGCATTTTTATATCCATATCCTTTTCTTGAATAAACATTTTAACACCAGTAGACTTAAACATATATAAAGATGAGGCAGATTCTAGTGTATAAGATGGAAGTCATCCATAAGATTCCACGTGCAAAACACAAAGCCAAAAGTCAAAAAGGAAAAACAAAAAATCAAAACAACAATCAAAAAACCCATCAAACACAAACCTTATATAAAAGTTTAAAGGTGTTCGTCCAAAAAATAAACATGCAAGGATGATTTGACTACTTTAGCCTTTTTGAATGTTCAAAGCTAAGTCCTTTCTGATGGCCCCCTTTTGAAAATGATCTAATATTCCATAAATTTTTAGATGCATTTTTCTTGTCTTTATTAAGTACAATTTGTGGTGACAATACTTGTTTCCTAAAACAGAGGCACAGGTTTAAGGAGTTAAATCTCCTTCTAGGTGTTGTTAAGTCTTCTTAAAGGTAATATTTGATGTCATAAGTGCTCTATCAGCATAAAGTAGGTATTTGTAAAAATAGCCATTAAACTATTTCACAAGTATATTTAATGGACATATAAACCCTATGCTAAAAATATAAATGAGGAAGTATAGCATAGTTCTAAGACTTATATTGTTGACCATCAAAAAGTAAACCACCCTCTTTTTAAGACTTAACAAAACTTTAAAAAAAATTGCTTAAACATATGAATTTAAGACTTTACTTTATTCAGCAAAATCATTTATTTACACAATGGGGAATGCTGGTTTGATTTTGTCAATGAAATAAAAACAAACTGAACAGAGACAATACTGAACTGTATATATATATGTATATATATATATTTTGTATCAGAGTTGACCAACTGTTTCCTTACCTGTATCGGGAACATCAAGAGCAACAGTATCACAAGGACACTGGTTTAACAATACACCACACAGGTCCAGTAATACCCTGGGAATTTTCCAATGCAATTACCAACTTTTTCTTTTTTTATAAAGATATAAAAAAACAAAAAGTCAGCAAAACCAGCATTATGATGTAATAAACAGAGTATAACCCTGAAGTCAGTGGGTCAGTAAAAACCTTATCAGACCATCTAGTTACAAAGTGATCTGCTCTTCTTCAGACCACAATACAGAATCCAAACAGGTGAAAAAATATCACTTTTTAGAAGATAGCAATGATCTGATAAGGATTTGACTTAATGGAAGTTAAGGGGGAAAAAATAAAAATAAAAGGGATTGCAGAGCATAGCCCCTATTAGAACAAGCTAACTTTCCAGATTTTCCAAATTAAAAAAAAAAAAAAAACCAAAATTAAAAAAAAAAAACACTTCAACATGAAGCTACCATACAAAGTTTTTCCATGTTTCTTTGTAAAAAGTTCAGAGTTTGCAATTTAATCCTGGGTTTTTAATGAGAAGGACAGTTTTGGCCTGGACTTCCCCTTGCCCAGGATAATTTTTTGTTCTTCTTTTTGTTGACGTTGTCGTTCTTGTTCTAGTTTCATCCTTTCCTCATGAATCTTTCTTTGCTCTTCAACAATTCTCAACTGTTCTTCAGCCTGTAAATTAAAAGAAAAATTAGACCTTTTATTAATATTTTGTCTATCAAGTGACAACTGATGATCAATACAACATACAAGAGCATGTTTCTCAAAGTATACCTAATATCACACAGTAGATGATAAAAGAAAAAGTGATGAAATAGAATCTTCATTATTCCTGCATTTTCTGTATTTCACATTTTATGAACAACAACAAAACTGTAGGAAAACACATTTTGAAAATGGAAAGAAATTTCTACAAATCATCTTTAGTGTAGATTTTCTTTTACCTATCTTCTATGAATTATTAACCAAAACTATCAATTATAAATCAAGGCAGATTTTTGTTACCTATAACTGGTTACTATATTCATAATTAGAAAAGTATACAATAAATGATAGAAAAATCCCCCTTGGGGCTACACTGTATTGTTGATATGCAACTAAGAAATACTATAGACATAATTTCCTAGAGAGAAAAAAATTAGTAAACTTAGTGGACTAAAAATGCTATCTAATTTCAAATGCAGTGATTTAAGTAACTCTTGCAGTGCCTTCAACCCCTTCAATCTCAAGCAAAGAATTTACTGTATTCTCCTACAGGTTTCCTCTCTTTACCAAGAAAATTCCGGCCATTGTCATAAACTTCTTATTAAATCTTTCCTTCCTACCTTCCACATCCAATTCCTCAATTCTCAACCAGGTATACTATTACTCCTCTTCCCCTAAGACACTATGCAATGATTAGGGGATAATTTGGGATGTCACAAATGGAGATGATTACTTGCACCTGGGGGGTAGAAATCATGAACAATGCTAGACATCCTATAATGCAAAAGATAGAATCCCACAATCAATACCAAGGGTTAACAGCGCCACCATGAGAGCCTGTTTTTAACCCCTGAATTTTCGATCCATCACCAACGTGTCCTTTTTTCCCTCTGATCTTGATTTTTTAAAAACATTCACTGTATCCTGTGAGCTCCCTTCAATTTTCATTCAATCATTTTAAGTCTTTACTTCTATTTCCATTATTCTATTGAAACTATTTTCAAGATGGTCAATAACAATATATCCAGTGATGTTTCTCTTTATTTGAATAAATTATTTAATTATTTAAAAAATGCTCTCTCCTACATATTCTCTAATACAAAACACTAGGTTCTCCACTGGATCACACATTTTGTCTCTACTTTCTTTTAAAAAGTAAAACATAAAGTGACTAGACTGAAGGACTGTTGGCAGAGAATATGTAATAATAGCTTCTGGGATGCAAAAATGCTAGAATTTTATCTTATGGATAGGCAAAACAGAAAAAAAAAAGCATCTCCTAAATATGTTAATACAAAAAGGTTTAAGACAATGCAGGGAAGACTAAAAGGCAGAAGATAGATGGTGGAACAGATCTACTATAGTTAAGTCAGGTTAGAGAGAAATAAGCAAAGATCGGGATGAAATGAGCAAAGCCCTGGTAGCTGGGTCAGGTGGAAAATCCAAGAGAGATATAACATAATCTTTTCTCTCTCAGATCTTTTTTCTAAGCTACAATTACAGGACACAGAGTCCCAATGGTCCTTTCAAAATTCAACATGCTCAAACATTTAAATTTTTCTATCTACTGTTCTAATTCTACAGATTTCTTTTGCCTCCTTCTCTTCCTGAAAACAACTAGTCATTAAGTCTCCTTAATGCTTCTTTTACATTCTCTCTGGTCTGAGAGTTTATTCTTGTTTCCATTGCCAACATACAAGTTCAGGGTCGCACATCTCTTGCACACCTAAAACAATATGCCTGTTTTCAGTGTGTCTTTTAATCCATCCTACAGATAATGTGACTAGACTTGCTTTTCTTTACCATTCCTCTCTTGCTCTTAAATTTCCAATGATTTTTCCACTGTCTACAGAACATAGCTAGTGTTTCTAAATCACATTTCTATAAGCCTTAAAACTTACACTAAGAGTGGGGATATAGCTCAGTTGGTAGAGTGCTTGCCTTGAAAGCACAAGATGCTGGGTTCAATCCCTCCCAACACACACACACACACACCAACAACAAAACCTTACACTAAAATTCTACTTGTACATTAGAATCCATTTCAAATCACTAATCTTCCTTAGATTTTCCATGACAATTACAACAAAAAATTATATTTCTATTCTTTAGCTAACTCATATGCCAATTGCTTTATTCAGTTTTAATAAATCATCACACATTTAGGATAAAAACTTAAGTGTGTACTACTGAATAAAAGTGTGTTGCATGTGTTTTAGGAAATCACTGTCAATATAAAACACCCAAGCTCATTTTTCCCTAAAAATCCAATTCTGCCCTAGAAAAGCATATTGGAACCCTGGGGAGTGAGGGTGAAAGGGCAAAAAGAAAGAACATTATAACCTCAACCTGAGATTAGAATTAGAATTACAGAGATACCATCTTTTACCCTACCAAACTGACAGAAATCCAAAAGCATGAAAGCATTTTCTATCTTAACAAAGTGCACTTTGATCCCCATCAAAATTGTACCCTTTGCAATACTTTAACCCAATGATTTCATTTTCTGGAATTTATAAGTATGCTTGCACACATGCAAAACTAATAATTTGATAAGGTTATATATTGTAACATATTTCATAAAAGGAAAAGACTAGGAAAAAATTCAAATATTTAGCAATTAAGCACTGACATTAAATAAGATATAAAAGATCTACAAAACAGAATACTGCATATGTACTTAAAAAAAAAAAAAACTAAAAAAAGCCTCCACATTCTGAAACAGAACAAGAATATGCTATTACAGGATAAAAGCAAAATGCATGCATACAGTGCATGCTACCTTCATGCAATAAATAAACATATATATTTACCTCTGACATGCATTTTAAAAATTCTAAACAAAAAACATAATTGAATGTTTTAGGAGATGGGAATAAGAAGTGGACAGACCAAGGGAAAGATACAGGAACTTTACTGTATATTTTTCTTTAAAAGTCATGCGAACCATGTGACTATATAATCAAAAAATTGAAACAAAAATTATAAAGTAAAGCAATTTCATAGAAAAATCATAGTGCACTGAAGTTACCTTTACACCACAAATAATCAAGTCTCATTTTTGTTTAAGTCTACAAACATAAAAGATATAAGTACGATTGTACAGTAGAGCTATAATTTCTCTGGGACCATGTATCTCAATAGAAGTTAATTCCCAGTGCTAATAATATAGCACCAATTAGAAGTACTTAGTAATGTAATAAAGTTTTTCTGGCTGGGTGTTGTGGCACATGCCTATAATCCCAGTGGCTCAGGAGGTTGAGGCAGGAGGATCACAAGTTCCAAGTCAGTCTCAGCAAATTAGTGAGACCCTATCTCAAAATGACAAAATAAAAAAGGACTGGGGATGTGGTAAGTGGTTAAGTGCCCCTGGGTTTGATCCCTAGTATCCCCCCCAAAAAAGTGTTTTTCTGTCCATCCTTTGGTAAATTTAGTACCCTTGCTAGGTCTTTTTATAAACCCTAACCTCCCTCCAATTAACTTCTTCCTTCCTGACTGACTCAATCTAGCAGAAAACATCCATTGTTCTTCTCACCTCTTCTTTTGTTTCACATTTATGCAGAAAAAAGGAGTGTATGCATGGGGGTAAGGAACAATACAAAGTTACAAGGATAAAGTGGTGAACATCTTGGAAGTCAAGGAGAAACTTAAGGCCTACAACAACAGAGCTATTACATTTGGACAGGTCTTCCTGGCCATTAGACCCAGGACTCTGCAACCCACCCCAAAAGTGACTGGTAAGAAGGAACATACAGAAACAAAATGTACTGTTATGTTATAGGTAAGGAGCCCTTTTACCCTCCCAGTATCCTATACCTTATCTTTACTCAGAAAATCTAATGATATTATAAAAATTACTTTCACACTTCAATTACATTGGTAATTTATTCAAAGTGTTGCCGAACAGTCCCTTTAAGTAAGGATACTGAAAACTACTCACTATTTGATATATACACAGACATGAAATCTTATAGAATGTTAAAAAAAAAACACCCCAAAGACAGAGATATTTGTTATGAAGAGTAATTACAAAAATAATACCAAAAAGATTTAAAAATTAAAAAGTAAAAAACAGCACAATTAGGAACCATGCCACTACTAAGAAATATGAACTTTGGATGTTTTAAACCTTCAAGAACGCAAATCCTGATCCACTCTGCTATTTGTAAATTTAATTACTTGATACATCATCTCCTCTATACATTAATGTATCTCACTTTAAATAACAAATGAATAAAAAAAATTTAAAAAGAAATTACAGTTGATTAATTCTGACCTTCACAAAACTGTATTAATAAAAATTTTTTAAAGTTTTTTCATTTCTAAGGCTAAAAAATTATCATAGAAGGGTAAGACACAAGATCCTCTCCCTTCTTAGTAACGATGAGGTTCTCTCCTTATGGTATACAATATTCCCCATCTATCCTTATGTGATATCATTAGCTTCCCTACAAAGAGAATTCATGCCATCACATACTCCCTTCTCAATCTATTTTAATTCTTGTTACCTTTCTAATCTTAACCACCCCTCCCCCTTTTTTGTGGTTCTGAGGATTAAACCCAGGGCCTTGTGCATGAAAAGCAGGCCCTCTACCAACTGAGCTATATCCCCAACCCTTTAAACCACTTTTGAAACATCAACCTTGTTATCTCCTGAGATGCCATATTAACTAAAGATAACTGCTTCAAAAGGTAAAAAAGACTGATAATTGAGTTAGGTATGAAATATCAGGGATGAAATCCACTGTCGTAGACCTCCAAAGACAATGCTCTATGATACTGCCAACAGAAGTATGTTAACTACAGAATTTCTTTTATCCTTTATGTTCCAAAGTTTCAAACAAAACCTGTATCTTCTAGATATGGCTCCTTGAATCTTCTGCACCCTAAGATCTCTTTTCTTGGGGTTAGAAAATTTTGTCTTTGTCATTTATTCCATTTTGTATACTTCAGTTTTCCTTAAATGC